CAAAATATATATTGTGTGTTTGATTGGTCCAGACGCTACATCAGTTAGTCGGACTTATTGTCACTTGATTTGGTTTCCAGAAGCAGGTTTAACATAGCTCAGGATCAGTCACTGTGGTAACTTTGGTCCGGAGCAAGCTAACTGTCAGGCTAAGCTAAGCTCCTCTAACTCCAATAGGAACGCATTGATATCACCACTGACTCTCTCACATACAATTAGTTGATATTAGTAGCTATACAGAAAATGAAACTTAAATTTAAAAAAAAAAGGTCTACAACCAACTGTATTTAATGTATTGGGCCCTTTTTTTTTTTAAAGATATATGAAAACATTTTAACATAGTTGCTACTTGCACACTGAGTTGATCAGCAGTTTCTAGCCTTGCAGCCTTTATCTGGGTTTTATGACAGCTGTGCTCTTTAAAGCATTAAAGACACTAATTTAAAAATTAAAATCATTAAATTATAAATAATAGAAAACGGACTACATTTTAACTGTTAAAGGGGTCATGTGATGCGATTTCAGTTGTTCCTTTCTCTTTGGAGTGTTACAAGCTCTTGGTGCATAAAGAAGATCTGTAAAGTTGCAAAGACTAAAGTCTCAAATCCAAAGAGATATTCTTTATAAAAGTTAAAGGAACACTCCACTTTTTTTGAAAATAGGCTCATTTTCCAGCTCCGCTAGAGTTAAACAGTTGAGTTTTACCGTTATCGAATCCATTCAGTCGATCTCCGGGTCTGGCGGTAGCACTTTTAGCTGTAGCTTAGCATAGATCATTGAATCTGATTAGACCGTTAGCATCTCGCTCAAAAATGAACAAAGAGTTTCTATATTTTTCCTGTTTAAAACTTGACTCTTCTGTAGTTACATCGTGTACTAAGACCGACGGAAAATGAAAAGTTGCGATTTTCTAGGCCGATATGGCTAGGAACTATATTCTCATTCCGGCATAATAATCAAGGAACTTTGCTGCCATACCATGGGTGCAGCAGGCGCAATGATATTACGCAGCACCTGAAAATAGGCTAACTTCCGTCAACATAACCAACGTAGCCACCTGCTTGCACAGGCAGCTTGCTGGGGACTATTTTCAGGCGCTGCGTAATATCATTGCGCAAGTTTTAAATAGGAAAAATATAGAAACTCTTTGGTCATTTTTGAGCGAGATGCTAACGGTCTAATCAGATTCAATGATCTATGCTAAGCTACAGCTAAAAGTGCTACCGCCAGACCCGGAGATCGGCTGAATGGATTCGAAAACAGTAAAACTCTAGTTTCTAGGGGAGCATATTTTAAAAAATAGTGGAGTGTTCCTTTAAGAATGTACGATGCTAAAAAAAAAAAAGAATTGCAATTTTGTAAAATCTAATTTAATATCTTAACATTAAATTGCTTGCATACACAATGCAGGGTTACTTTAGTATCACTGAGATACAATTCAAGTTTTTATTAATATTTAGAATTATTTTATTTTTATATTTTTTCCATTTTATTTCAAGTTTTAGTAATTTTGTTTAATTTTCGTTTTTAATTTAATTAATTTAATGTATATCGTTTTTATATATTGTTTTACTTCAGTTTTAGTTTAAATTATTTTAGTACAACAAGATAAAATGAAAATGAGAAATGTTGCCTTGGCTGAAATAAAAGTAAAAAAAAAAGTTTATTTTATTTTAAGTAACTTTTTTTTTTTTCTTCATTGTTTTAGTTTTAAGTTTTAGTTAACTATAATAACACTGTACATTAGAAGAAGCATTTACATTCTACGAATGCACTTTGAAATACAAAAATCAAATCATTAATTGAAATCAAATCAGATTTCATTGTGAATAAGAATCAGATCATTCTGAATTTGCAAAAATCGTTCCCGAATTTAATTGCAAACCTAACTGCTTCGCTGTCTACCCAAAGATTTCACAGCCCTAAGTAATAAGAGATGACAGAATTTTTATTTTTGGTTGAACTTTGCCTTAAAAGTATAAATGAAGACACAAAAATTTGAAGACACACAAAGTTGCTTCTATATTTCTTTGTCACCGTGTTTCTAACAACATGTTTAGATGTTTGTGTTTTAGACGTACCTCTCCCACCGCATTGACCACAGGTAAGTGTCGAAGGCCCATGGTCCTGAACAGATTGAATACTTGGGAGACACATGTATTTGGAGAGACTGTATATGGACAGGGGTTCATGTAAGGAGTCACGTCCTGTTTAAGAAAAAAAAAAGACAAATGAGTCTAATTATGTCTGAGAGAGACCGCTGAACAAACTGTCATCACTGCAAGGCTCACTTTACAACAAGATCACTTACACACTTACAATTATCACCAATTAACAGCCATTATACACACATCCTAGATAACTGGATATAGAGCACTAGTTTATGAACTGCTGCGAG